ATAACGTTCTATTTCTCAGTAAGTTATGCAAGCAGCTTTAACATATATTTCAATATTTTGAAAAAATTAAAAAGCAACAACTTTATACTATTTTTGGGATGCTTGCATTTATAACAAACTGGTAAATACCCAACCATCGAATTAAAATTGATTGCATTTCGATGCTTGTTTATCGAATTCTTCGAAACAAACAATGTCTTTTGGAATTTTGATAATAGACTAAGGAACTTGCGATAAGTTGAAACTGAACAGCAGTCAGTTTTGGACAAAATAACTTCATAATGTCCTCAAGCACATGCAAAAGTTAATTATGTAGCACAAAGTTCTTATCAATGTGACAATAAACAGTCATCGGTATGAAGTCATCAGAATAATTATCAATCAACGAGACTGAGATATGAACACAATCAGTCAGAGAGGATAACAGTTTCTAGACAATAATATACTCTATAACAGAATATATATATATATACATTTTTTTTTTAATTTACTTACTATCCCAATCAGAATCCTTGTTGCCTGGCTTATTTAGGCAATTCATTTAAATAGGAGAGCAAATATTAGAGCTTCTATTATAATAATAGATTAACCTAACATCAGCTACTTTGACTTTATGCTAAATAACTGAACTATCCGAACTAAAAAATATAAAGCACGTAAATTTAAAACAAAGGAACATTATAAGCTCAAAGCAGAACAACAATGTCAGTGATATGTATCAAAATATAAAAAATATATGACTAAACCAATTTATTAAACTTAATTAAGCTAAGTCAAACGATGCAGTTTGTGTGTAAGAACGAAAGAATTGCACTTTGCCTGATAAATTAATAATACTCTTAAGACTAAAGGGTATAAATATATGAACATATGGAGAATATTTATAAGTTGCCGCCCGTGGGCATGTGGGACGCTGACGTCAGGGGAACTGTATGAGCGGCAGGCATGCAGCTTGTTTAATTAAATTTGCAAAGTATTTTTCTTGCAGTTAATTCTGTCAACAGCATTGCACTATGACGGCGACGATGAGAATGTGGACGAAAATGAGGATGAGGATGCTGGATAAGTTGCAGCAGCAACAGCCAGGACATGCCCATAAGCGCAGTTTCCGCTTGGTACCTGGCCGCCGGCGCCGGAAAGTAGGCTACACGGCAGTCAGTAGGTCACAGAGGCCTGAGAGCAGCGGCTACTGTCAATGAGTTTGCCCGAAGCCTGAGAAGTCAGCGGAACGGAACGCAGAACGCACAGACCCGCATCCGCATCCGCAGCACTTGCAACACCCACGAGAATGCGTGGACTAGTCGAGCCTGTTGCCCTAGGCAGCGTTCTCTGCGCTGTTCGTTATGTTTTTTTTTTTAAATCCTTGAGTTTTCTTGGAATTTTTGTAATTTCGGTGCTGCTGTTAACCGTTCACCTATTATGCCAAAATGTTTATTAAATATTTTGTTTTATGCTAGCGAAAAGTTGCCTTGCCAACAACTTTCCAGACAACTTTATTAATGCGGGGCTTCGAATTTGACATGTAATGGAAGGCACTCGAATATGCGTGGGGCGCGAGCTTAAATATTTTTGAAAATATATCTCTTTTTCCTGACTGAGTTGATTGATTGGTAATCAACTCACTGTCATAGGTGCAGCATTTTACCGAGTACCCCACGAGAATTGAGTAAGCATTTAAGCTGGGTTTTTAAAAAGGTTACAACCAGCAGCGGAAAACTGGTTAAAAGTTGTATAAAATCAATCATTAATCAATAAATACGTTTTTGACCCTTTTTGTTAAATGAAAAAATATTTCCTGCCTGCAAAAATTAATGAGTACGTATTTTATCTATATTAAAAAACATTCAAAGCGGAGCTTTTCTATTTAATGATTTAATGTATGGTGCTTGCAATATATTAATAATAATAATTATAATAATAATAATCATAATTTATTGCAAGACTCATTCGCCTAGTGTCAAACATCAATGTTAGATTAAGGTGAAGGTTAAATACTGTTATTTTAGGTTAGATTAAGTAAGGTTAATTGCGAGGTTTTATGACGTTTGTGAGTTTAGAGAGGCCTTAAGATGAGTTGAAGTTTAAATGCGTGATTTATGATTTGCTCAAGTTATGTTAGATTGGGTTATGTGAGTGTAGTCAAGAGTGTGTGAGGATATGTGCGGTCAGTTAAAGAAACCTTCAGGTAAAGATAGACTCTACCGATCTTAAGTAAGTAATTTAAGGTTTTCTCAATAAGATTAAGTTAGCCTCAGTACTGAGAGCCTTAAGGATTTTATATGCTCCATTCGGATTTGATATCAAACAATAACAGACGCAGTAAATCAGAAACATACAAATTGTTCTTTTGCCAGCTTTAAATGAGTAGTTTGAAAGTTTTCGGAGTCGTAGTCCCCTCAGCCGGTATACAATTATTAAGAACTATCAGGCCATATGTGTTTAGTGTCTGCTGCATTCTGAATGTGCGTTGTGTCTTTATTAAAATTGCTTCGCTTAAATGATGTTTGCAATGATGCGAACAATATAATTTTACTATTATTGCTAGTCATTTTGGAATTATCAGATTAAATATTCATATTGCGCATACGCCTCGTTGCACCAGAGACGACGCATTCGCAATTTTGATTACCAATTCCAAGCGACAGCAAATTCGTTTTTATTTTTTTTTTCCTTTTTTAAATTACACGCCACAACGAGCGCTGACTACCAAAGCAAATTACAGACACAGTTGAACTTTAGTTGCAGCACAAGTGAACCATATTAGAGACATGCTACCCCTAACCACACACACACACACACACACACATACGAGCTATACGTCTGGGGTTTTTGTAGGGTCGTAAACCTCAGGACGTGCACAATTGTAGTTTATGCTTTAATTCCTGTTGGCCAACATTGGCGCCAAAGTTGTGTGCGTGTTTTATGGCCACGGCAGATCTGTGGCAACAGACTGAGCCTTAATTACATTGGCCGTTTCAATCAGTCGCATTCCCAGACTCTCTCTATCTATATATATGACTGCAAAAGTGCAGCGGTGCCGTCAAGTGTCTGGGCTTCCTGGCATCCTTGAGATACACAGTCGTAACTCAATTACAGGATAACAGCGCAAAACGGATTTCGGAACGGCTTCGAATCGCGCACGTGTCACCCATAAAAAATTTGATAAATGCATAAGGACTTGTCTACTACGACTACTACACTCGTCTTGAGGGTCCTTTGCAGTTGGCACTCTTGACTATGTTGTGTTTATGTCACGGTGCCGCATAAAAAGTGACAAAAGTTGACAACACCGAAAAGTTTTTTGTGTCTCCCACTGGGTCGAGCGAAATGAATGGTTTTAGGCAAGTCCCCAGCCAATCTAAGGACCCATAAATTAAACCTTTTTTGCCCCCCACCAGCCAAACCAAGCACAAAGCTACACAAAAATGTATCAACGCATTAAAAACAAACTAACAACTAAGTTGTTTTTTTTTTTTTTTTTTGTTATCAAACTAATAAAAAACATTTGGTAAACAATAAAAAGCGAAATATAAATACGCTCTCCAAACTTTAAAAAGTTTCTCATCAAACCTCAGTTGATCCCGACTAAAGTATTAAAAACAAGAAACAAATGTAGAAAACTTATAAAGAAAACGGATTCGAGCACCTAAAGCTACATTTATGACTTCAACATTATGAAAAGTAATTGCTCGAAAATAAATCCAAGTCTTACATATTTTATAGGTAACCCATAAAAACACATATGTTTAAATCGCTGGGCATGTTAATTTAAATATTAATAACTATGAAAGATATTTTCATTGGGACGTAGATAATATATTCATACCTAGTTATTACTCTCCCATATGATGACAATTGTTTTTACTAATTAAACTAAAAATATTTGGATTATTTCTTTTATCGATAAGTTTCAATTAATTGTCGTTTAATCTTGATTTCCCTTCGTTTTTACTTTGCGCCTTAATATTGTATGTGAACAGAATATATGATAATTTTCAGGCAGACTGAGCTATTGTCCCTTTCTTAAAATTACATAAAATAATTGAAAGATAAATGTCAATACGAAGCTCGAGTGCCACTTTGCAAATTGAGTACAGCTGCCTGGCAATTATTTTGTTTTATATTTCAATAAATATTTATTGCATGAAAATCCCAAGCTTAGCGTTTCTTTGCACTGAAAAATGCACAATTTATTTAAATATTTGTACGATGTGCGTTTAAATCAACACATAAATTAAATGCATATCGAAAAATAGTTGAATTTTCCTTTATACTGTTAGGATTGTTGTTTTTATGTGAGTTTTAAATGTATTAAATTGCAAACATTTTTTAGAGCAAAAAGTCGAATCAATTCATGATATTTGTCTTTTTAGCTAAATATGAAAATAAATAAACTCTATTTTTTTGCCATGCTATTGGGAAACTCTTAATATGCAAATGCAACAAATTAAAATGTTTTTTTCCAACATAATTAATTAATTTAATGTTAAATAAAAAATTAAGAGATTTACCGAACCAATGTTCAATGATGTTAGAAAAGAAGCTCCCGAGGCATTGTTGAAGCTACTTTAAATTTAAGATTTTCGAGAACTATCTTTATTTTCTATTCTTAATATTTAAAGCAAAAATGTTGAGTTTGGCTCAAATTGATCCACTTTAGCAAACATATGAATCATTGATATCCCTAAGCCCCATTTCGAAACGTTCGAGCCGTGTATTATCTCTGTCGGAACCAATTGAAAGTTACATTTCTCGACTTCGGCTACAAAGGGCATCGCAAGCCCCATATACATTGAGACTGACATGGGGGGGGGGACTATCTGCCGTTGGGCTGATTTAGTTTATAGCTCCCTGGACAGCATACACAACGGGAAACCAAAAGAAAAGCGTATGAAACACAGTTAGGCGTATTAAAGTTTGCCCGAAAACCAAAGACAGCCCACAAAATGAAGTAACAAAGTTGGCCAAACAGAGGCTAGAGATAAGACTGGTTAGGTTACCTCGTCCTGTGGGAGATGCTTTAATCCTTCAAGCAAAACTTGCGGCTGGCAGTATATGAAATCCTTTTGCGTGAAGCACTTGTAAGTGTTTCGTAAATAATTTGTTTAACACACTTTACACACACACACACACACACACACAATCGCACACACACTGTCGCTCGACAGACTGTCTTCCAGTAATCCCAGCCACTTTGGGACATGCACGTGTTCCGCGCACTACGCACTCCGAGACACTCGCTGGCTTATTAACACTCTTCAACTATTGCCCACTTGGTGGCCCTCGCCAGTAATTGTGGCCAGCGCGAAGCGTTCTTTTGCTGGGCTCTCAAGTGCCGAGTTGTTCCTGCCGCACGCACGTCTAAATACGAACTGAACGGTGAACGCAGCCTGCCAAAAGGACATGCCATCAACTATATCAACGCTGCTGGCGCTGGCTCAGTCGCTGCTCTCGTCGCAATACTTCAATTGACTTACGGGATGCTGCAACTTCAGGCTGCTGAAACAGCGAGAGAGACAGAGAGAGAGAGAGCGCGCGCGCGAGAGAGTGAAAGCTTCCTCCTCTCTCTCTGTGGTGAATAAAGCTAAACTCCACACTGAGCAATTTTAAAAGTAAGTCAACATGAGATTGAGTATTGAAATCTGCATTGATAATTTAAAAAAAACTGCAAATTATCCAGAAAATCATCGAAACGTTATTAAATAAATGTTAAAAATGCAGCTAAACTCACATCGGGATGCTTTTGAATCTAGTGTATCCTGATTTGTGTCATAATATTTGAGATATATTTAAAAAAAAAAAAAATTAAATATCTTCTTAATTAATCTAGATAATTATGATTTAAAAAGCTGGCGCGCTGACATACAAAGATGATATATATAGATGTTTTTATCAATTAATTATGAGCATTTGAAATATTTAAATTTGCATTAATTAAAATTGTGGTCAGTCGCATATTGCCCCGCTTGCAAAAAATTAAAAAGGGCAAAAAATAAATCAAAATAATTTTAAACATTGTCCAAAATGCCAACTCCTATACTGTAAAATGACGACCTTATTACAGATTTTGTAAATTACGCTTACGGCAAAGGCAATTTAAAAAAAAAAAAAAAAAAACTCATCAGATTGTAGCAAAAGAATTGAATGTATGAGTGTTGAAAAACATGTACAAATATGTAAATAAGGTAGTTCTGCAAACATAGCGAGCACTTTACATACAGCTGTAAAAGCAAACCAATCAAAAACAACAGCACAAAAAGTTACACATTGTGATATGCAGGCTGGTTTTATTAGTAATGCGACAACTTTTAATAAATGCGGACAGACGGAATAGACATCAGACGCAGCAGTGGCAATAGAAGCAACACACGGTCTGACGACAAAATATGCGAATCCAATCAAATATGATGCCTGGAACGGAAGCGGCGGCGGTTTCTTACAGCGTTTTTAACATGCGGCCAATCAGCGTAGATAAACAGAGCTCTGTTAAGCATTAACATTGCTCGCCGGCCAATGTCAACAGTTGTGGTGGCAAAACAAGTGCATGTAATTAAAGCAACAGACCGGTAAAACGAAGCACCGACGCTCTCTTGCTCGTTCGCTCTCTCGCCCAGCTGACGATCGTGGGCAAAACGAGCGTGTGTCGTAACTTGAACTGTTATCAGCAGAGACGGCGACGGCGACGGCGACTGAGGCAGTGTGAGCGCTTGACGGTGGCAATAAAAAAAGGCTAAAACAATTTGAGTTTTAGCGCGTTTTGGAATCTTCAAAAAAGCCTTTGTTGCATTCAAATTGAGTTAGTTGCGATTTTAACGGCGACCCGCGCGCATTCATCGCGGTCACATAAAGTTGGCAGTGAAGTACATTCAGCTCCATCCTTTGCTGTATGCCAGTCAGTGCTTGTCAAACTGTACAGCCATAATTATAACAAAGAGCAGCTTATATAAAACCGTTCATTGCCATTGCTCTAATCTAGTGCAATAAAACTGTTGTCGTCTACGCTTAACGAATGTTACGAGATCTAATTGTTGTTATTATAATTATTTCCCTTTTGACGTGATAAGTAAAAGTTTTACAATTTCGGCAAGCCAACCGAGTCCAGAGAGCACATGCATACCATATTTGTCTGTGACTCGTAAACATTATATACACCATGGACGCACTTAAAAGAACAAGTAAGCAAATTCCCAGATGAGTGTAACAGACTGGCAGATGCCCTGTACAAAACTGTAGATCAGTCAGAATTATTTATCATATTGTCAGTGGATTTTTGACATGCGTCACTGCGCTTCTAAAATCCTATAAACATCATTTATGCTTTTATTATCTTATTGTTATTATAAAAAATGAAATGAACCTGAATATCAAAAGAACAGCTGCTGTAGTTGTATTTCACGTTTAAAGACAATAGATAAAAAGAATTCATTTCATCATTCATTAAGGTCATTTCATCAGTGCCACTTAAAAGTCTGATTTAAATACAATTACTTTTAAGAATAAAGAAACTTCTTAGCTTTATATTTCCAAAATTCATAAATTATTAAATAAATAAAATATGCTAAGATTTCAGATCGAATTGCCCCTATAATAAATAAATAATAGGAGCATAAATAGAATATGAAATGAATAAATCGAAATATTATTTAAATTCGACTCTCGGAAACTCCAGATAACATTAGTTAAATATCCATATGAACTATATGAAACTACAAGTTTTTTATTCGATATAAAACAAACCTAAGCTGAATTGTCTAATGGAAAAATTTCAAAAGAACATTCGACTTATTTATTTGAATCACAGGTAAATAGCTTCGAATAATTTGTTGATAAAGCTTTTAATATCGAAATATCAATTTGAATAAACATAAAAGAATTGAGCTACGCCAAAAACTGGTAACAAATTGTTAAGCTGCCTGCAGGTTGGCACGTAACTTGGCTTACAATTAATAACCAGTAGTCAAGGCCTTCAACATAATGTTAAAGTTCGAGTCATTTTTTTTTATTTTTGTTTTGCTCTTGAATTTCCATTGATTGCCGCTAACAATCACAAAGTGTCTTAAGAGGTGGTTCCTCTTCATTCTTTATGTTGAATGTGGCTAAAAACCGGATTTGCGGAACGGTGTTTCCCCTCAACATGGACCAAATGAACCAGGCTCTTAATTGGGCAATGAAAGACACGGATTTCCCAAGAATATACAAGCGGAACTTCAAGTTATAACACCACAAATATGCTAACTAAAGGTCGACCAGCTAATACCCTGCAAACAGTCCAAATAAGCTGAGATACGTTTAAGACAATGCAATTGCCATACTTTATTGGTAGAAGAGAGTCCACTCAACTATTTACTCTGCAAAGTTCGTCCTCAGTTTATATAATTAAATATTAAAACTTCACAAGGACCTTTCCTTTTAAATAATTAATATGCAAGTCAATATTAAAGAGCTTCTTGGGGCATAGAATGCGTGCGCTTGGGGATTTCCCCGTCAATCGACCCGCTACTAAAAATAACCAACTTCAGTATGCATTTACACACATGAATATAAATATATATATATATATATATCGCATTTTACACAGCGTTAAGCAGCTTAAAATCTTCCACTCTCCGCTCTGTGTGTATCACATTTATTTCTCAACCTAGCTCAACAAAACTCGCAGCAGGCCAATAAAAAAATGCGGCCAGCTGACGGATCTGAATAATTGAAATGCCGCATTGTACAAATTAACGAGCCAAAAATAGATACAAAAAAAAAAAGAATACAAACATAAACAAATCATCAATAAATCAAAAATTTAAACCTGCACTGAACACAATAAGCACATAATTACACATCAACAAATACAAATGAATGTGAAATTTAAAGATGCTGACAAATTGTGTTATGCAAGTTTGTTCGATTTAATATATGATCCGGGAAATGAGGTAGCTTCATAGCTCTACAATTTGCCTAACTTTTGTCATTATGCCAAGAAGAAATTGTTATTGCCGAAGCTCAAATACTCTTACTCTCAACTCATTGTGTGTGCTATTTGATTTATTTGACTTTAAATTGACTTGAACTGTAAGTCCGGGTTCGAAACCTTGACTAGTGTGTAGCATGTTGTTAGGTACTTTCCAGAGGCCATTATTATTGACCAGTACAAAATAATATTGCAAGAAAATGTTATAAATCTTTGCCTATGTTTGAATTTTTATTCCCTTAGCAATAGAATACATGATATGGGAATCAAGGCTGCAAATAGCTTCAAGCCAGAAATGCCAATTTATTTTCCACAAACTGAACAATTTTTTAAAATAATACTCAACTTCAAATCAAACTGATATGTCTTTAAATCTTTGATTGAAAAAAGGCCGTAATAATGAGCATTAGAAATAATATTCATGTTGTCTGATCCTAAAGTCAATAATAATTATTTAACATGAGGATTGGATTTGATGGATTGTTTAAGTATTTCATTCGACAAGGTTTTTTTTTAACTTTTAAAATTTTTGTTATATATTTTGTGAAATATTAACTTACTCAAGCTTAAATTGAGCATAACTGTGAATTGATCATTTTCGCCTGTCCGTTCGCTCATATCAAATTAAATATATCATAACAAATTGTTTGAGTTTATCCAATTATTATATGCCATATAATTTAATTCAACAACTGGCAAATAGCGCAGATTAATGCTTAACTGCTTTTTTAGCCATGTGTGTGAATAAGCCAGGATTTAAGTGTATCTGTAGCACAAGAATTTGACTTAATACGATTCTGCCTGTCAAGCAAGCACAGTCATAAACAGAGTTTTTCCATTTTCCCCGTATTTGGTAGATTATTCATAATCTTGACCTGCGTCATTAGTTTAAATAGCAGGGAATTCACGTGTGCGGTCAGCCGAAACATCATCCAGATAGTATGCATATAGACGATCTGCCTTGGCAGATGTTTTATAGTGGAACGCATATGTGATTTCCAAAATGTTAGCACGAGCGCATCAAAAGGTGTGAATTACAGGTAATGCCCATATTGGTCATATTCTCATTTTATAGTGTGATTTTTGTTTTGTTAATTTCGTTAGGCATTTAATTGAAGACAATGTTCGAGAAGTCACCCACAACTCAGCCAACGTGACTTTTGGAGTATTCATTCGTAGCTTAAACTCAAAATCAACATGTTAATCAAAATGATTACCTGTCACTTCAATAAACAATTGAAGGCGCTTAATTAAGCATTTAGTCACGGCTGAAAGGAAAAATCACAAACAGTTCACAGAGCTGCACAGAGATAATCAAGTCAATTGCTCATTAAATGCAGGCACTTTAAATACCCTGCACATATGAAAACCAACAACAGGGTATTTGAATGTTAATCGACAAAACAAGAAACGTATTCAAAATAATCACGAATATAGAAAATAGCTAGATTCAGCTACGTCAGTAATGTAAATATAATGTAAAGTATTCCAAAGTATTGCAAAAACTGATGCGGGGTATCTGCCATACATAACATTATTTTCAAATTTGTTCTCCTTGAATTACAAATATTGTTCAACTCTTTGATGACTGTGCTTCAACACCTCATGCCGCTCAGAAAGTTCTAGTTCCGGGTATGAAGAGCATTAAATCGTACATTGATTAATTACTAGCCGACTAGCAATAGGCCACAGCTGGGCTTTACACTAGTTTACTTTTGTATAGTATCGAGGCAAAAAATGCAATGAGGCTGGCTTGCAAAATTCCAGTGTCAAAAGGTGAAATACTTAAATCAAAATCAGACAGTGAACATATAATTTGAATGACTATACGGCTGAATTAATATTTAATTACCGTCAATTAGTTTAATCTTAACAATCAGTCAACTAGAAACTTTGATTTTGGAATTTCAGCAAACAAATTCAGATATAGTAGAGACTGTTCTACTTAGAACAAATTTGCATCTCAATTTTGTGCATTGTTTAACATCAAAAATTATTCATATTAATTTGAATTATTTTACAATCAACCGACTAGAACCGGATAAATTTGCATTTCAATAAAATTATTATTTAAAGAGAAATTATGGAAATCTCTTAAAGTTTTGCTGAATAAATGAGTCGAAGCGAAGGCCAGTGTTGTAAGGTTTCATAAATATGTTCATAATATACACATATACTAAGTGTATTTGTGTTTTTGGCCTAAATGAAGTGCCACTTAAATTCCAATTAACGGAAGTGCTTAGTAGCCAGCCTAAGGCATTAATCTTTACGTCGCTTTAAGTGTTGCCAACTAAATAGGTGCCAGCCTCTCCAAAGAAGAAGAAGAAGGAAGGAGGAAATTCCTTATCCAATTCGTATGTTTACGTTGTTGTTCACTTTTCTTTTTATATTTTGTATTTCATCCGCTTTCCTTTTCATAATTTATGCGCTGTTTTCTTGATATGCTTTGTGGGCTCAGAGAAAAGCTTGGGCATCATCTAGTGGGCAACGTTTGGTCCACCAACAGTTGCCAGTTGCCAGTTGCCATTTGCAGCTCCATCTCCGGAGCTGGGCTGGGTCTTATAACCGCACATAGATGTACGTGACGGTTGCCATGTGAGCGTGTGTTTGTGTATGTTTTTGAAGAACAGAGTGCTAATTAATTAAATTTGTACGTGCATTGCGTGTGGGCCAAGCAGACTTGCCGGCTTGTTGGCCATGTGCTGATAGAGCCTACAATTGCCTAGCATCTAGCTGGGCCAACTGGGCATATGGGCTCATATACATATACACGCATTAACTGGCAACCGTAAATCATACTTAAATACACATACAATATATTGTCTGTTCGGGTCTGATGATGCCCAACTCTGTCAATAATAAATATTTGGCCACATGTGTTGAATCGCGTGCATCTTGACAAAGCCAAAAAAAAAAATAAAATAATGATTGGCATTCGCTTCAAAATCGCTTCAAGGCCAAATTAAGTGTAGAATTAATATATAAAAGAAATACTAGGTTATTTTTGTGTTTAGTTTTAATCACATATCAATCTGTGATGCGCCGAACCTTAAATACCCTACAATATAAAAAACTGCAGAAATTTCTCATGGCATCTAAACTTTAGAATTTTCAATACAAACAATCAAAAATTATATATAGTTTTAATAAATATATATGAAAACTTTTGTGTTAACTTGTAGAAATAATAGAAATCTATTAAAATGATTTGCATATAAGAATAACACCTGGATTTGAGGCAATTAAAACACAAGCGAGAAATGTAAATAACGAATGGCAACAATATTTTAACAGACTGTTAAAAACAAAAAACAAAATGTTATTCCATGTAATAAAACATAAAAACATTTTCATCGTTTATTGCAGGTAGTTAAAAACAATTATCATATTATTCAAGTACATAATTAAAAAATTATGTACAATAAAAATTCTAGGAAAACTTGTAGATTATTTATCGACTATAATTACACACAGGTTTACCAATACTAATTGCTAACATTTTTAGTTTGATTTGCAGCCAATTGGAATTCAAACGGCAAGAAAACAACAATAGCTGCCAAGATACAATTTCCGCAAAGCATTTTTTTAAGTAAACGATAAACAACGGCAACAACAAAAACAAAAACAACCGCAAGTGAAATAAACGTAAATTATAATTATGCCAAAATGAGCGCCGTAGCAACAACAAAAACAACGGAAAGACAACATAATTTTATGAACAGCTATTACAGCCGGCGAAACAGCATGCGCGTCTTAACAGCGCAACTGCTGTTAGTCATTGGCCTTCTGCTGTTTGAATGCTCGGTGAGCGAAGCCAGCGATTTGAGAGCTGTTAATGGGTCTAGAGGTAAGTTGTAGATCACTTCTGTATATTAACATACTGTAAATCTGTTTAGTATGGGTAGTGCAACTGACGATTATTATATGCTAGCGTAACAGGAGACGAACAGCAAGAGATTTAACAGCGATACTGTTGCTAAGCCAGGGTCTACCGCAGTTAGAGCTGTTAAATTAACAGTGCATTGAAAACTGTAAGGCTGCTAACAGTTTAGTTAATAATTATTGTAGGTATAGGTGAAATATTAACTTCAACAAACTAAAATATGCAATAATAAATATTCAGAGATAAAAACAATGCAATAAGCAGTTAGCGGCTTGCTTGTAAGTGTAGTAACAATTAAAATTACACTCAGCTGACGAGACAACGATCTGTTGCTGCTAAAATGCTGTTCACATTTCATCAGTGACTTCCAAACTGTAAAAGAAGCAATAGTTTTTAGCAGAAATGCTCAATTAACAACTTAAATACAAGCCAAACACACAAACGTTAGGCGTGTGAAAAAAGCCCACAAACAATTAACAGTTTTCAGCTGCTGCTGCTGATGCTGACCTTGGCCAATATTGACGGTCTTAGCATAAATGTAAATTGCAAACAATGCAAATAATGATTGGCACCGTCTTGTTCGATCGCATGCGAATTTGCGTAAGTACCTACATACTTACATATCAAATACGAAGTGCTAAAGCAATCATAATAATGGCCATAACGAGCCCATGAATGTGTTAACATGTGCAGTCAATAAAATCGCCGTTTGTGGCCGACGGACAAACAGCACGGGCTCACCGAGTAAGTGTTGTAAAACTCGTATTTATGTGCATGCATATGTGCACTTAATTTATATGCCAAACATTTGCTAATATTGTCCGTTAATGTATGCATATATATATATTTTTTTTTATATATTTCTTATTATAGCTTCTCTTAAAGTACATTAAGAGATAAGCCCAAAAGCAACAGAAAATAAATTAAAGCGGAGCATTTAAATTACACTAAATAATAATTATTTTAAAATATTGCTGCATAAAAATACTGTTGACTGACTGGAAGACGCCCTGTATCATCATTGCCCTGTTCTATCAGCAGCAGATTTTGCTACTAACTCCAGATTTGCAAGACTTTGTTCTCAGCCCGAAGCTGTAACCAGTTGAGAATTCTAAGCAACGAAAAGCAACAATTGTATTTCAACATGACCTGTTAAACATACAAAGTAAACTAATATCAAATTTAAGGTCTTATTCTAAAGGAACATTCAGTCTATACGCCTTGAGTGTAAATATCCACTTCTGTTTGCTATAAACATATTCGTAGCCAATTTTTATTGATAAAAATCCATAAAAAAAAAAAACTCCATAAAATGCAAGACACTCTGACAAACAGTTTTGCTTTACAATACCTGAAGAGTCTTAAGTCTTGCAAGCAGGTACGTGCTTATCAAATTGCGAATCATTAAATCCTGATATCATGTGCGCGCTCGTAAACTTAATGATGTTTTAATGTGTAAATATTTTTATAGCATTGCAGGTTGCGAAATTGATTTTCCAATTAAAAGATTGCCTTTGGCCAGCACACTAAACTTTCAAATACACTTTAGTTAAGCTTTGGAAAAAAAAAGAAAATCGAACTTGGTTTGTGGCATTCGCAGGGAATCGCAGAGTCAGTCTTTTGGCTTGTGATTTTTTGTAAGCAATTATCGTATTTGTTGTTGCGTTATTTGGTTAAAGTAAGTCGTTTTTATAGCAAGGCTTTATTGGCCCAGCTGCGGCTTCTTTGTTGAAACTACTTTTCCAGACAGATAAACAACAAAAAGCGAAAATTCGTAATTGGAAAATTTCTTAATTCTTAGGCTAACCAATTTTATATATCCCATAACCGTTGAATCAGCTAAAATGGCATGATTAAGTTGTAAAAATAAACAAAGTTAAAGATTTGAAAAATAACTATTTTGGGAATATCGTGTACTCTATAGCCCATTGGATTATTCAGCTATTTTTTGAATTTTTTAGATTTTTATTTTTCGTTTTAGTTTTTCAGAAAATTATAATAACACCTACATAAGAAGCTCCTGGCCTATAAACTAACTCTTTTTATGTAACTACTCTTTGTAGCTTTTTACAGGGTATTTTCAAATCAAGCAAAGTGCACAAAAACATTATTTGTGATACAGTTAAACAAATTTAAAACTGCGACTCGGTTCAAGCACCTTAACAAATAATTAGCACGCATATTTGTTAAGTAACATGTAATAAACTAAGCACATGCCAAATCTCATATGCAGTATATAAAGTATATTCAAATAAATTGAGCTTTAAACAACAAAAATTTACGCGCGTGATTCGAACAACAAAAAGTGAGCAAAAACAACAAAAAACAACAAAAAAGTTTTGTTGCTTAGCTTTTATTTGCCTTGTTTTGTTTGTCTTTCTGTGCGCTCTGTTTTATTAAACATTTATTATCGTAAGTTAATCAAATAAACAATTCATGAAGAACACGTGCACAGTCAGCTATTCAGTTGGGCAGACAAAAAGCTCATTGCTATGCGTAGCTGCGTGAAGTTGGCTGCGCTTTTGCTATCTAGTTCAGTTGAAGAACGGAATTAATAGATCTCCCAAAAATGTTCAATTAAAGTAATTTTATCCTGATTTCAATCAATTTGATAGTAAATATTTTAATTAGATTCATTTAAAAATATCCCAGAATGTCATACTTTGACTAAGTATGCCTAAAATTTAAAATATAAACACAATTTTTAATCTATGCATTTTATGTCTCTTTTGATTAACTTGTTTTTATATATGTCCACTTTTGAGGCATTCGGAGGAAACTTTACTAATTATTCTTAAAGTCAACAAATTGCCAAGCATGTTTTAATTCTGGCACTAATTAAAATTTCCCCATCTCATTTTCAATTGCAGCTAGCACATACTGTTTGTACCAGGAGCAAAATAGTACCCATCAGAAAGAGCAGGGTGCTGTCTGGTTTGATGCACAGGACAATTGCTTGGTTTACACGTGCGCCGCAGGAGTCGGCAATGAGCCACAGGCACACATAGTCGTCACCCAGATTGATTGCAATGAGTTTTACTGTGATGTGGTTGGTATTTAATTAATTTTCAGTTATGATTTATGATCTCAGCAAGCAAATGCAATAGCCAAGTGTCAGAGGGTGCTTAGAATTGTTATATGGGAAATATTATTTGTATGGCATTCAGATCAAATATCAACAGCGCGTTTTGACACTTAAAAATAATTTGTAAGTTAAACTTAACTAAATTTTAAAGGGTCAGCGAATGTTTATTAACCTAATTATTGGTTTAAAGTTGTAAATACTTATTTTGCAGGAGAACTAATATTTAAAGTTTGCTTAGGTTTGATTGAATTGCAAATAAGTTAGTTTGACTGCCTAAAATTTCGACTGTGATCGGCAGATCAGCTTAGAAGCACTGCACATTACAGTTTGAGAGCCACTTGATGTAAATGTTAACTTTGACAGGAAGAAGATAAGATCTGAAGATGAATAACTAACTGCCTGTAACATCTACTTGTAGGGATGCAAATAGTAAAATATGTTAGACAGAAATTTGAAGTTAATGTCAAATTTATTCTAAGAAATAAATGCAGTTAGCAATAAATCTGACTACAAGATTAGCTTACAGTTACAGGATCGATGTTTTATACTGAAGAGAATGTTAGCTTTGACTAGATTTCCACAAGAATGTCGTTGACTAACACCTGAGCTAATGGGGCATATAAGCATTATATTTATATTCGGGTACTATCTAAGATGATTATAAATTGCAGGGCACCGAGCTGCGAAAAACTTCGGGTAGCTGTTGCGGGGAATGCGTGCGCACCCACTGCCAGCACAACAATACCCTGTATGCGGTGGGCGAGTCCTGGCACAACGATGCCGACTGTACGTTACTCGAATGCGTTCGCCGGGACAATGGCGAAATTGCAATTAATAGCTACCAGCGCAGCTGTCCGCCAATCGACCCAAGCTGCCCGCCGGAGCGTATCTATAGGAATAGCTGTTGTTTCGTTTGTCGGCCGTTGGCATCGCCGCGCATCGAGCAGCTGGCTGATATTGAGCAGACGCAAGATATGTGGACAGCCGAATGGTATCGCCAGCATCCATGCGTGCGCGATTGCCAGGTGGATGCTGCGCCAATGACGTGCCACTATACATTTGTCGTCGAATGGTATCAGACGTTCTCGAAGGCCTGCTTTGACTGCCCGCTGAATCTGACAGACTGCTCGCGGCCGCACTGCATCATGGGCGATGGACTGGAGCGCAGCATAACCGTTGTCAATCGCATGATGCCCGGGCCAGCGATTGAGGTATGCGAGGGCGATCAAATTGTGGTCGATGTGAAGAACAATCTGCTGGGCGAGAGCACCACCATACACTGGCATGGACTGCATCAGAAGAAAACGCCCTATATGGATGGAGTGCCGCACATAACCCAGTGTCCCATTTCGCCGCATGCCACCTTCCGCTACAGTTTTCCGGCGGACAACCCGGGCACACATTTCTGGCACTCACACACGGGCATGCAGCGCGGCGATGGTGTCTTCGGATCGCTTATTATACGCCGCCCCAAGAATTCGGAGCCACATGGCGGCCTTTACGATTTTGATCTCAGCGAGCATGTGCTGGTCGTCCAGGATTGGATACACGATACGGGTGCCAGCATCTTTGCCTATCACCATCATTCACGCGGCGACAATAAGCCCCACAATATTCTCATCAATGGGCGTGGTCGTTATTACAATCGCATTTGGGCGGACATGAAGAGACAGCATCGCATGGCAGCAGAGGCGGCTCCCACGGCAGCCCCAGCCGAAGCACCCAAAATGACCAAGCTAACTCCAACGAACTTAAACTTAACGGCAGCATCGAGCAGGGATCCTGTGCAGCCAGGTAAGCGAATCTGTGTTTAATTTCCAACTTCCAACCTTGCAACTCTTTGGCATGTGTCCAAGAAAGCTTTAAATTAGTCCTTAAATGAAGTTCGTCCTTTTCTCCTAAGTAATCTATCTGCCAAACTTTGTGACTCAAGCTCCCAGCTCGGCCACTATTCCTGATGCGGGATGCTAATCTTAGTCCGAGAACTGTTCACCCTTAAGCAGGTTTAAATTATGTTTTTGACAACAAAAAAAAACTGGTTGATTAGACTGCTGCCGTTTTGTTTCTACTTTAGCCGATTATCGATTGTTCCATGACGGATACACCACAAATTCATATATCCTTTGCAATGCCACATAAATTAGTTTGATCCCTCTTAACGGACACATCTTTATCCGGACATTCTTATCTCAAGCCGCACTGTTTGTATGCAAAACCTTTAAATCAGGCAATCCTCTTGAGTGTACACAAGTTGCCCAATAGTGGCCGGTCATAGTAGACAATTATCTGACTGTTTTTAAATCTCGAAGACATCTGCGTGCCGATTGTCGGGCTATCAGCTTTAAACTTTGTTGTGTCCGACACTCGGAATATAATTATCGGAAATAAACGGGAACTAGGAGCACCTACATCAAAAATTTCAAGTTTCTAGCTCTTATAGGTTCTGAGATCCTTGCGTTCATTCATACGGACGGACGGACAGACGGACAGATACCATTATATCCATTTTTAAGGGGTACAGGGTATAAAAATGCATATAAAAACCAACGGACAGACAAGCCAATATGCTCTTTTTACCTTGTAAACGGAGCATACAATTCTTTATGCTTATATTTTTCAAATATATTTGTCTTAACCTTATTTGGACGCTGCAAAGGACGAATTGATCTCAGCCAGAATTTCCTTAATTTGAGCTCTGATAGCGCGTAAGCTAACATTGCGAGTCTTTTAAATATTTGTCAATTGTTCTGCTTAAGCTTAGCTAAACTCTTTCACTTCTTTCATTCCAAATCAATAAAATCAAAATAGCATCCAAAAGCCCTTCAGCGGCACCAACGCCACCAAGTCTGGTCAAATTGCTGTCGAATGAAGCGCGACAGAGCAACAGCAGCAAAGCAAACGGCAGCGGGTCGTTGCCCGATCCGGTTGTCCATTCGCGTCAGCGGCGCGGCAATCTGCAAGAGATACCATTGGAGCAGATACCGCATCAGGTATATCATGTGCGAAGGGGCTTTCGGTATCGCTTTCGCATCGTTAACGCCGAGTATCTGAACTGCCCGATTGAGGTATCTGTGGATAATCACACGCTGACTGCCATCAACTCGGATGGCTATGATATTGAGGCCATGGAAGTGGGCTCCATTGTAACGTATTCGGGAGAACGTTTTGACTTTGTGCTGAATGCCAATCAGGAGGTGGGCAACTATTGGTTGCGTCTCAAGGGTCTCATGGACTGCAGCGAGAGATTCACTTCAGCCTTTCAGGTGGCCATACTAAGGTATGAAGGCGCTGTCGAAAATGAGCCCAGCGCTGAGCTGGGCTATGCACACAATGCCACGGGCATTCAGCTGAATGTAATGAATCGTGGTCCCGGCTATACGGATACCAAGACGGTGGCCGAGATGAGGGCATTGCCCATATACGACAAGGTCTCCGGCATTGATGATGATACACTGAAGCCAGAGGCGGACTATAAGTTTTATGTGTACTACGATTTCTATCGCAAGGATAATCCGGAATTCCATCACAGCGACTACTACGGCATGGACACGAATGTGACCAAGGAGAATATATTGTATACGCCACAGCTGAATCACATTTCACTCAAGTTTCCCGCGGTGGCACTGCTGCCACAACGCCATCAGCTGACCGACGAGCTCTTCTGCAATGAGACAACACTCGCCCAACAAGGCATCGATTGTCGTGAGCAGTTCTGCAAGTGCCATCATGTGCTGCAGGTGCCATTGAATGCTGTCGTGGAGCTGATCATTGTGGACGAGGGCTTCACTTTCTATGCCAATCATCCGTTTCATTTGCATGGCAATGCGTTCCGTGTCGTTGGACTGGAGCGTCTGGGCGAGAATGTGACCATCGAAATGGTAAGTGGACTTGGAGAAGAGAACTCTTAAATCTTCCTTGATACTATCGAAATTCGTTTAATCCCCGTGCAGATCAAGCAGCTGGATCAGTTTAAGTTGCTCAAGCGCAACTTGATCAATCCTCCTGTCAAAGACACGGTCACAGTGCCCGATGGAGGTTATACGATCATACGCTTTGAGGCCTACAATCCGGGCTATTGGCTCTTCCACTGTCACATCGAATTCCATGCTGAAATCGGCATGGCCCTGGTTATAAAAGTGGGTGACGACGATAAAATGGTACCGGTGCCGCGCAATTTTCCCACCTGTGGTGATTATGTGCCCGATTCCCGCACGAATCTGGAAACATCGCCCCCAATTGACATACCTGGCAGCCCAACGACCTCAGCGCCACCCACGAGAGACACATCAACCAGAAACCTGGCAACGGGTTTGCCATTTATTATCCTCATGTTAACAATGCTACAGTTGGTGAGCATGCGTTGAGCGCAGAGCCTAAAACCCAATGCAATCATGACACTTGTCCAGTTTTAAGTCAACTCTAATCACAATTTTCCGCTTAGGTTGTGTACGACATTTTCCCATAACTAAAGCCCTTTCATTAGGGCTTGCTGTTAACTTTAATGATCACTTTAACATTGTCTTGAATTCAATAGGTTAATATATCTGCCTGTTAAAATATAACATTCAGTTTAACAACATGTTCGTGTTAAGTGTGGCTTGCACTTTGTGCAGGGCTGCTGTTAAATCAGGAAATCGCTTTAATTCAGCAAACACATTTATCTGCCTGTTAAAAGTGTCACATAAGTGTTAGTTAACGCGCTATTTCAGTGTTGCCAGCTTGCAAAAAGGATTGCAATAAGTTAAGTGGCGTTGCCACAATTAAAAAAAAGTTTGTATCACTTCAAAAAGATTTAACCTTTTCCTAACCTATATAAAGTTTGATAGATATATGAAAATATTATTTTTACTACCTTTATTCGATTCAGTAGGAATGGCTTTTCATATTCTCGGAGTATTTTCCAACCCCAGTATTCGTTTAATATGAAACTAGTAAAATACTCATATGCATGCCCCACACAATTAGATTAAGTCAATTTTATTATCTTGAACGAAATCATGATTTTCTGTGGCTCAAAATTTAGCTAGTTTCATTTTATCAACATCTGTGATTGTCTAAAACGTTTCAGTAGCATTTAAGCGTATAAGAAAACGTTCAGCTTATGTAAATAAATTATGAAATTATTTAATTAACTTAATTTAAATCTTTATTTAATATATATAACTAACGGGTATGCTCCGGTCTGCGCCGTGGCTGAAAAACATATTCATTATGTTTTTATTAAGAGCTTTGAAAATAAGTTTAAAGCAAATCGGACAACTCTTAAAACTTCGCCCAACAAATCTTTGAATCGCAATTCTATTCTAATATCTTTGACCCCCATTTCGACAAAGGAGGAATAAATTTTCCAAGAAAAAACTTTCTTGAATAAATATTTTTATTTTTAGACAAATAACGAAAATTTGTCGTTCTTGGAATAGAAAAAAATAATACCAATAAATCTAAACGAAAATTCAATAAATCCCACTCGAAAATGATCCAAAAAGTAGAAAATTTATAAAATTTCAACCTGTTATAAATAGAAGCCTTTTTCCTTAAGCCCCAATAAAAAAAACGTTGGAAAACTTTCGAAAGTTTCGGAATCATGCGACTTCCCGTCCAAGTTCACACTTATCCGATTGGAATGTAATTAATTTTTAGTTAAATTTAATTTACAACTTTTATATAAATGAATTGTGATGCAACATCCGAAGTTATTGCATTACCCAAGCAAACACTCGTTCCTATTAGATTTTAGATTAATCGGTTTCTAAGGTGCACAACAGTATTAAACTTCGCCCTAAGTTCTGTTAATGGCTCTGATAAGAAATTGGCAAAAAGCCAACGAACCGGAGAGCAATTCTTATCTGAGTAGCAGCCAAAATAAAGCGCACATCTGGTCGGAGACCAATGCAGCTGACCTAAGGACCTAACCCTGAGACCCCAAGCAGGCTGACGGGCATTATCAGAATAATAGAAAAGAGGAGCCTATAAAAGACGCAGTGGGCCTGAACACTGCATCATAAGTAGCAAAAATGTACGACTGGACGGGCAAGAATGTGATGTACGTAGGTGGCTTCACCGGCATCGGGTTCCAGCTGCTGCACCAGCTGATGCAGCGTCAGAAGCTTAAAATGCTTGGCATAGTGCATCGCATGGAGAATGTGGAGATGATGAAGAAGCTGCAGGCGGAAAATCCCAGTGTAAAGGTAATGTTCATGCAAGTCAATCTGATGGACAAAGTGTCCATTGAGCAGACCATGAAGAAAATGGGTCAAGCAATGGGCAACATTGATGTGCTACTCAACTGCGAGGATGTGCTGCTGGACAAAGATGTGGAGACCACCATTGGCATCAATTTGGTAAGTTACAAGAGTGATATGCTGTCGTCTCTAAACTCATCTCTTCAAATCACCCAACTATCCAGATGGGCATGATACACATGACTTTGAAGGCCATGCCCTATATGGACAAGACCCAAATGGGCCTGGGCGGCATGGTGGTGAACATGTCCTCCGTCTATGGCCTGGAGCCAGCGCCAGCTTTTGCTGTCTACGCAGCAGCCAAGCACGGCGTCATTGGCTTCACCCGTTCGATGGGCGACAAGCATATCTATCAGAAGACTGGCGTCATGTTTATGGCCATGTGCCCGGGCCTGACCAACACTGAGATGATGATGAATCTGCGCGACAATGTCACATGGGACCACTCCGAGTCCCTGGTGGAGGCCATCGAGAACGCCAAGCGTCAAATGCCCGAGGAGGCAGCTTGCCAAATTATCAAGGCCATCGACATGATGAAGAATGGCAGCATGTGGATCGTGGACATGGGGCAAGTGAAGGAAGTTAATACCCCGATGCATTGGCAAATGTAAGGCGTACGTCAAAGAAAAACAAATAAATAAATATTTTGCCTGATTCACACACAATAAGGTGTCGTATGTTCAAATACCAGTTTTTTGTCCCTTCGGGCTTTGGCGTTAGATTCATTTCAAGAAAAAGAAGATAGAACACGAAATAGCCTGGACGATATGTGGTAAAGTTTATAAACAGAATATTTTTTGCCATACAAAACAAATTCTATGCTCGATTCTTTCTACAGAGCATGGGTAAACACTTTTAATATCGGTTATCCGATTCCAGAAAGATTTGGCATAAGTTTGCGGAGCATAGTGGAAGTAACTTGAAGCGGAAGTTCTCCATACAAGAACCTACTTTTCGACAAGGAAACAGACGAACGGGCGGACGGACATGTCGCAGCTGTTGCTGTTAGGAAGCTATGATACCTTCTTCCAAGGTATACAAATATTTAAATTGAATATAAATTTATGTAAGAACTCACATGAGTATGCATAGCCTCCAATTTATGTGCTATTTGTAGGTATTCAAATGCATATATAACATTGGCCATGACTGTTAAGGCATAAAAATAAAAATGACAATTTAATACGTGTTTCTATATGCTAAAAAACAAATACTTACACATATTTGCATGATGTGTCTGTGTGTGTGTGTGTGTGTTTTTAGATGATGAGGATGATAGATAAAAGATGAAGCTTTTGGTATTTTATGCCAGTAAAGCGCTCGTAGTAAAAGTTATATATGCAATAAATTGTATCCAATAGGAATATTTACAATTTGCACAGACCGAGGCGAATAAGTATTTAACTATAGCCGGGCCATAGTATTTCTAACTTTGTAATCACACTCCATGATCTTTAAGATTGGTTCCTGAAGTATACTAACTACTAAGTAGTACATTATGGCTTATGGATTCTGGATAGGTTCCCTTGAGTCGGTCGGGCTAAGCCTGATTGCACAAGTTCTGCTCTACCATTTCGGCCAGTTGCGCTTCAAACTTGGCCTTGGTGTATCTGAAATTCGATCGAAAGTACGCGTCCAACAGCAGTGCCTGACAGCGTCCCACGTTCATCATCGAGCGCCAGTCGGATGCATATTTGGGCTCTTTATGCCGCTCCAGCGGTGCATGCACTGGCGGCAGCGGGCAGCTATAGTGCTGCCCGTTGGCCGAGCGCAGCTTTACGGTCGACATAGCTTGTCGGCACATGAGGCATTCGAATTTATGAAACAGCGATTGCTCCTCGTTCTGCTGCTCGTGGTTCATTTGATAGCGACGCGTGAGCAAATGATTCAGCAGCAGTGCATTGTCAACAGGTTTGTCACGTTTCAGTTTGTGGTCCAGATAGGATTTGTAGGCGGTTTCATTGTTGTCCAGCTGCTGCAGGTGGGCGGCCAGTGCGCCAGCATTGGCAAAATCATCTATATAAATGGCAGATTTGTTATGCGGCTGCCATTCCTGCAGAAACAAAACAGTTCAATTAATGCGAAAGACTGTCGTCAATTCTAGTCTAGCAAACGTACGCGTATGCTGGGCGAACCAAAGTAAATGGGTATGACGCCCATGATAAGTGGGCGCCAATATTTTTCGGTTATATAATCATCGCAAATGCCATTCTCAATGGCAATCATAAACTTGTAGCGGGAAAGAAAGCGCAGCAAGGCATCTGAATATAAATTGTTGAGATAGTCCTTTTGAAGGCTGAAGGAAAATAACTCAAAGTAAGTCAGTTTCAGCTGATTTAGCTAAATTGTATATGTTTAGCTCTCGCTCACCTCTCTGGCAAATCTCGATTGCGCAAACAGCCGCCATACGAGTCCACGGGAATGTGCTGCATCAGCTCTTGCACATAATCCTCGCGCCCGGACAGAGTATTGCAATCGGTTTGCAGGAAAACCACCGAGGCTAGACGTTCGTTAAACTGTATAACCTGCTTGGAATAGTGCGGAATATAGTAGTCCGTTTGGGTTAGATCGCTGGGATGCGGCAGATACTGTGTGGTCAGTGGCAAATTGCTGTGTCGACTGAATGTGGACGTGTTGTTGAAGTGCTGCAGAAATTCACGGTGCGGCACAAAGGGCACATTGCGCGGTGACTCCTCGTGCAGCAGACCCCACAGATGATGCGGCTCGCGTGGCATTGGAAAGTCGTGCGGCTTCATATTGGAGCCATAGAACAGTATACCCTGTAAAGCAAGCAAGCAAGCAAAAACAAATGCGATAAACGAGTGCCGGACGTGAACTTCCGCTGCAGCTGCGCCAGCACTTACGCGAGCCTCTTTCAAGCGCTGGCGATTGTTGGTCACACGGCACGATTCCAAGTTGCAGTAGCGCATCTCATCGTAGGCCCAATTCATATCATTTGTCCACCAGAGCAGCTCGGGCACAGCACCGCGAATGTCCTCCTTCTCCCGGGTTATATACCAATACAGCCAGCCGACGCTGCACAGCCAGGCGAGCGAGACCAGCAGCAACTTAAGGCGACGATTGCGCCACGGCCACATCGTTCATTTGCCGTCTTTTATTTTCTGCAATAATCACCCGCTGGACGCCGCACGGGGCATGCCCCAATTCAAATGAACGCGCGCGAGAACTGTGTGCCTTGAAAATTTGCTGCAGGTTGTTTTTTTTTTCTTCTTGACTTTGACACGCGTTCAGTGCTGTAAAACGCCGCTACTTTACAAGCATTTGCGGTACGTTACGATATGCTCGTTGCTCGCAGTGGCGTGTTTAACAGAGCGGACTGTGCCAAGGTGACGTGTTGATAAGTAAGTTAAAAGAGCTGCACATAGCTGCTTAGCGAATTCAATGATTCTATTGAGCTAGTCAATATGTTCATTTTGTGGTCACTTCGTGCGGCGGCTGTGTATGTCATGCAGGCTGGAACGTGCACAGCTGCCGCAGCAGCAAAACATACTTTACAACACTGGAGCACGTCATCATAATATTGTTCCATTTACATTTAGCTCAATTTTAGCATATATCAACAATAGAAAAGGCTTTAATTACAAAAATTATGCCGCTAACAGATTGAAATTATTAAACGAACGCGCTAAAGATGGCCAGGCGCCAAAATGCAACGTAAACACCCAATGGACGGGTCGGCAGGCAAAAACAAATATTGACATAACACGTCAACGTTTGCGGCGAGAATTCGGCAGAAGAAAAATTTTTTTATTAAACAATTAACTAGGCACTTTACAAATTGGCACAACGCACAGCATGTGTTATGGCCACAGCGCAGCACAATACATCAACAACAACAACAACAACAACGGCCGCAGCTGCGACGGAGCATGTTGCGCCGGCAGAGCGCAAACAATCGGTCGCATCGGCTTCCAATTTTAACATAAACGCGCCCAGCTGGCAATCCTGCTACTATTGCACGCGAGAGCACTTCAAAAGCGTCGCGGAATTCGTCAAGTAAGTAAGCCTCGAATGGACGTCAGACAAATCTTTAAAACTCCTTATCAACAGCCATTTGCGCAGCCGGCACTGCACGCGGGAGGGCGGCTCCTTTGTGTGCCGCTATGGTTTCAATGGAGTGTGCGCCTCGCTGCCGCTGGACGGCGTCTCGGATCGCGACTACGATGCACATGTGGCCAAGTATCATGTGAACCAGCAGACGCGCGAACTGCCGCCGGAATGGGGCGTCTATTCGGCGGCACAGAATCTGCCGGCCGTGCTGAACGATCCGCAGCGTGGCAAGCAAAGCAATCTCTTCACCAAGAAGTGGGGCGAGCATTTTGTGGAGCGCGTGCACATACCGAGCACTCCACGTCTGCCGGACATAACGCACGCCGATTTCGCTGTCTATCTGGGCAGCATTGGCAAGCGCTATCGATGGCATGAGCGTCGCCAGCAGCAGCAGCAGCAGCAACAATTGACGCCCACTACGGCTACGCCGGAGCATTTGGGTGGTGTGCCCGTGCCTGAGATATTTTTGAAGTCGCAGCTGCAGCTGCATCATGCGGCGACCTTTGCGCAAGTCTTTCCCAACTATATGCAGCCAGAGGCTGGCGAGGATAATGCCAGCTGCACTGTGCAGCGCCAGCAAACGGGCAGACAGCTGCAGGAGCAGCTCTCCCATTATCTGGACATTGTGGAGGTGCGCATAGCGCAGCAGGTGGCACAAAAGTCGGCGGCCTTCTTTCATGCGATGACCACACAGCATGCCATATTGGCGGAAATGCAACAGGCCGCGGAGCAAGTGCGTCAGCTGCGTGCCGCTCTGGCCCAGCTGCATGGCAGCGCCGTTGTGGATAGCTTTCGCGTGATGCGCTTTGCACAGCGCCGGCAGCACTATCATGCGACGCTGGACAAACTTCGACTGATGGCCACCGTGCACAAGACTCAGCCGATGCTGCAGCTACTGCTGGGCACCCAGGACTATGTGGCCGCATTGGACTTAATAAGCACCACCCAGGAGATACTGGCCGCCGAGCTGTTGGGCGTGCACTGCTTTAAGCATCTGCCCATGCAGCTGGGCGAAATGGAGAAGCTCATTGACAAGATGCTGACCACGGAATTCGAGCGTTATGCGGCAACAGACTTGAATCGGCCGCTGACAGACGCCGACTTGGAGACGGACAGCGTCTACGCGGAGGAGGACAAACTGGTGGCCATTGTGATGGGCCTGCTGCGCAAGCAGAACTTTGGCTTTGTCCAAAGCTATCAGCAGGAGGCCATTGCCACCATACGAGCGATCATTAAGCAGCTGCTTATCGAGCTGCTGTCGCGCGGAGATCACGAGGTCTGCCTGACCGGCGCCGGTGAGCAATCGCTGGAGCTGACCCTGGCCGAATGGCTGGCCATGCTGCAGCGTGCCAGCCATGCTCTGGTCGCCGTCCTGGAGCGCATCAAGGCGGTCGTCTCGATAATGCAGCAAACAGCTGACGCCGCTGCCGGCGGCAGCAGTCCGCATGAGCATGCCGTCAATCTGATCGACTCGGAGGCCTTTCTGAGTGCTGCGCATCACGAGCTGCTCAGCGCCCAGCTGCAACAGCTGCTGCAGGCTGTCTGCCATTATTGTCATGAGCGTTGCGCCAACATTGTCTCACCTCAAAGCCTGGAACGCTGTGCGGCCACCGAGCAGGAGCTGCTCCAACTGACGCAGGTGGTGCAGGAGTTCTGTGAGGCCACCCAGAGCATATGCAATGCGCCCAGCGTGCCGCTTCAGCTGGCGCTCAAGGTGCAGGCATCACGTTACGCGCAACGTTTTCATGCGGAGCGCAAACAAAAGCTGGCGCTGCTACTGGATCAGGAACGCTGGCGTCAGGTGGACATACCACATGAATTCCAGCGCATTATCGAGCGCATGTCGGCTGGCGACTATGCCAAACAGGCGCCACTCGACGGCAGTCTGGTGACCAACAATGGCATCGATGTGAGCGGCAATCCTGTGCTGCTGCTCGAGGGCAAACAGCCCTTTGCACTGGTAGGCGTGGCGCTTCTGCTCATCCAAATGCTGTACGAGTATGGGGGGAGTGCGCACCGCCTGCCGCTACTTGCCAGCTATCATGCACGGAACGTTGTGGATCTGTTGCGCTGCTTCAATTCGCGCAGCTGCCAGCTGATCATTGGCGCCGGAGCGATGCGCGTGGCCGGCCTGAAGACCATAACAAGCACCAATTTGGCGCTGGTGTCGCGTGCCCTGCAGCTGGTGCTGTATTTGCTGCCGCGTCTGCGTGAGCACTTCGAGAGCATGAGCGGATATGAGGCCATCGAGCGGGACTATCAGGGTCACATCAAGGAGATCGAGCACAAGATTCATGGCATTGTCTCGGAGCGTATTACCGCACAGTTGGAGGCTTGGGATGCACGTCCGCCGATACCATCGCAAACATTTCGCCACATCTCAAGGCATTTGGTTAAGCTGCACGAGGCCATAGCGGGCGTGCTGCCGGAACCGCAAATACATGAAATTTATGGTGTGGTTCATCGCAATTTCAAGGACAAGCTGCGAGAGCAACTGCTCAAGCTGAATATCTATAATAATGGTGGGCCACAGCATGGCGTTGTCACCTCCGAGCTGACCTTCTATATGGAGACATTGCGTACGCTGAAGGCTCTGCCCGCCAATCAGCTGGACAATGGCATTCTCGAGCACATTTGGCTCTACTGAGCGCGGTATTATTCCAATTGTGATGGATTTTTAAAATCCATTTAACAATCCAATGAAGTCTCTGTTGTTGTCCCCCATTGTCCCCCTTGAGTCCGTTCCGCTCTTTGTTTTTTATTTATGTAAGCCTATTTTTGTATATTTCCAGTATGAAATTTGTGTTTGTTTTTAAATTTGTATAATAATGCAAATCCTTTGTTCATTCTCTGACCTAGCATTAACAATTAAGCGAAAAGTCAAGACATTTGATTTAAGCCAAGTCCATAACTAATCAAATACAATGGCATTACATATAACACGGAATCTACGATTTCTTTATGTAGTTGGGAAAGGGCTCGAAATAATGTTTGGCTTGTCATAAGTACAAATATCTTAAATAGTCCAGCTACCTTTTCCTATTTTTATAAATTTAATGAAAATATTCGGACTGCCTTGACAAATTTAACAAATTTGTTTCTAAATAAAAGAACTGCAGATCTAAGGCAAACCTTTTCTTCTCTTTAGAAAGATAAAGATGGTGAAAAATGAAGCCAGGATGCCTTAGGTAAATTCTCTAAAAGACATGTGGATTTTTTTTAATCTTCGCTAACATTTTCTAAAGCAAAAAGTAGTCAGGCTTGCTTAGATAAACTAAAAGGGATCATCTTTTATCTGAGGCAACCCAACTCTTTTCTTATTTAGATACATTTTGTAAGTGGGATAAGGTAGTCGGGTTTCGTAGGTAAAATTCTCTTTAGACATGGATATTAACTCCTCTTAAAAAATTATAAAAATATGAAATACTAGCCAACATTTTATAAATTTAAAAAAAATGATCTTAGTCTTGGGTCTTAGTCAAAATACCTTTGAAGATATAGATATATCTATTTTTTTCTAAGTTATTCTAAATATTTTTTCTTTTTTATAAAAGGTTTCTACATTAAATTATAAAAATGTGGGGCTGCCTTAGATTAAATAGCCCTGTGGACATACAGAAAAATGTTTTCTATCAAATATTTTCGCTCATATTCAAATTGATTTCAAGGACTCAAGCAATTAATGTTAATCTTGGGAAACAAAGGCTACAAATAGCTATATCAATAACTTCAAAGTTTTTATAGCTGGTCAGCATTAATCTTCAGATATAATCATCTTTATAAAACTACGTTTAAAATCAGCTGAAAAATCAAAGCTCAAGTTCAAGATAAAAAAAAAAAATACAGAGAATTCAGCTAATCAAGAAGTTGGGTCCAAAAACATATCTTAAGACATAAACAATACAAATTTTAATTATATATACATAGGTTGACAGACATTAGACTTGGCTTAAGCCACAAATATTTCGTACTCCGGACAATAGTTTTATAGCTTAAGCACTAAACATGATTTAACGAAAGCGGAAATTCCCTAAAATGCCTTCTCGAAGTCCGACATAAATATGTTTGCTGGCAGCCTGACCTCAAATAGATCAGCTAATTTATTCTCAGATTCGTGAATATTATTGTATTCCCGAGGCTTCAGTGCGTAAATATCAGCATCCAGATCCGGATAATCGGGCATATCGTAAACAGTTTCCTCCTCTGCTGTGTCCAGTGAATGGTTCAGTAGCTTTGCTATTAGATCCTCATTAAGCATTGGTTCCAAGCACTCTCGTGATATGGCTAAAAAGGCGAATAGCGTGTGAATGATGACGTTTTGAATTTTTATGTAAGGTTGAAAACCAGCAAGCGGATTCCAAGGGGAAAATGTACGATATTCGCTCAGGTCGTAAAGATGTGACTTTCTGTTATCTAAAGCTTTTTAAAGGTAATTGAGAGATGTTCCAAGCAGTTTGACAATCCTTTCCTATCCTAAATCCTTTTATGCTCGAATTTGGTCAGTCAGAACTGAAGCTATATAGAAGCAATTCCTGATTATTTCTTTTTGTGCTTGTCCAGTTGATTCCTGCTGATCAATCTTTCCTCAATTAATAATCGTAGAATTGTGTTTGTTGCTTTACTCATCAGCTTGGTTCTTATCTAATAACTAGTTAAGCCTCTGTCCCAACTAGACTCACGCTTGTTGAAGACTTGCATGTAACAGTTCGGGCATTACAGGGTATTCTGCACGCCGTTCTCGCTGCTTTCTTAGTGCCGAAAACAAGCTGAATCCAATGCTAAAAATAGCTAAATCTGTTGTCCAAGCACAATTTGGCCATAAACAAAAAATAGCTAAAACAATTTGATAGCTGACTAGTGAAAAGCAGCCAAATATAGCTAGAAAATGGCTGACTTGCCAACACTGGTTTGCTAACTTATATAAATTCTAGAACAACTCTGTTCTATGTTATGTAATATTGAAATTCTGACAATTTTCAGGTCAAACTCACGTTTCTGGCAGTTTTTCATGCATTGCGCAGTTGGAAAATCCATAAAATCGAATAGATCAAATCCATGGGCAGGATCGGCAGATTTGGCATAGAGATCAGTGGCAACATTCACTTGCGGCGCCTTAAAGTGCGCCTCCAACAGCTGCGGCGAATCCTTGTCGGGCTGCCTGCTGCGATGTTGCTTCTGCAGCGTCTCCTTGCACAGCGACAATTTTGGCGCGCAGCTCAGGGGCCATTTTGTGTTGGCGCCTTTAAATGGCGTTAGATTCGGTTTGTTGTACATTACGTTGTCCAGTTTGCTAAGGACGCTCTTTTTGCCCGACTGCTGCAGCGTATTGTCGCCCATGGCCTTGCGGGCCGATCTGGGCAGCACTGCGCGCCAAGCGGGAAATTAAATATTTTATATTGTTTAAAAAAAAATAACATATGCAGTTGGTGTCAATCGCTCGCTTACTGTGTGCACCAGCATTTTCCTCGTCCATCCAAATTTGTGCCATCTTGTAAGTCGTTGAAGTTTTATTTGTAATAATTTTGTTAGCACCAGCACATGCGTTTAGTTTATTATTTTTAATTATTAGAATACAACGCCAAGCTGCTCGAATTTTTTGTTAAATACTAACAGGGTTGTTCGACAGTTGTAGTGTGACCGTAGGCGGGCTTATGAAAATTACCAAAATAATTGAAGCCAAACATGCCACCAACGGCAAAATAAGTTGCCCTGAAAGAACACCTGTTAGTCTCAATTAAAACCCAACACGCTCTAGTTTTTAACTTAAAGAACTCTTCACTCTTAAGCACCTATTTTATTATTGAAAACATTGCAAACAGCAGACAACATTATTTCGATAGGCGCCAGCTGTAATGTTTTTCAACATTACAGTGAGCTAACATGCTGTTAAACTCAAAAAGGCAGCTGTTTAATAACATAGATGGAGGGTAAACTGTTTGTGTTCTTCTTTCGCTCTTGAGTTCAAAAAAGACCATTGAACGGGTAGGTCGTGCGTCGGTGCGGAAAAAAATCTCGGAAAAAAGCCGTGGGTGATTCGTCGTTGCGTCGCGCGTGAGTGTGTGTGTGTGTGCATGTGTTGGCTTAACAAATTAATAAAAGCGCTAAATAGAATCCAATAATATGTATGTGCAACGGTTATCGTAGCAATTGTTGTGCTTGCAACTCACAAAAATTTCACAATAGCGCGACAGCCAGAGAGCGTGAGTGCCAATTGCAAGACAAAATGGCTGCATTTCAACGCATTTAATGCGCGCACAAAAACAGCAACAACAGCAGAGAACAACATACACAAAGCATAAGCAAACATGTAAGTATGCAAGTGTGAGTGTGCGTGTGTGTATAAATATGTGCGTTAGTGTTTGTGTGCGTGTGTGTGTTGTGAGAAGCAGGCAATGAGAACCGCGGCATAACAACATTTAATTAGCACCAAAAACCTGTGAAATGCAAATGAAATTTGAATAAACCAAATACTGAAATAAACCCAAACATTTGATTAAATATATTTGTTTATAGCGGTTGCTGTTTATGTGTTGATTTTGCTTGTTTGTTTATGCCGCCGCATCAACAATAACAAAATACAAGCGCAATCAACAATAACATTAAAATTCTATGCAATTGCAGTGAGTGTGCGCTCTCTCGTTTACCTTCTCTCTCACGCTAATTTGTTTGAGTTTTTCCATTGTGCGCGCGCTCAGTCTGTTATGTTGAGTGCGTTTTGAGTTGAGTTTGTGAGTGATTTAATTTCAAGTTTTTCGTCTTGTGTGTGCTATGAACAGGGGAAGGGGTTGATTTGCTTGTGTGCATTATTTTTATTTAATATGAATTTAAAAAATATTTAAACAGCCGCAAATAACCTAAATATAAATACATGTGGATCTGAGTGTGTGTGAACAATATCTTAAAAGCTCACTGTTTATGTTGTCGGTCTCTTTCTCGCAACGCGCTTAGTCGCCGACTTGAGAACCACATAAATACTCGAAATACACTCACGCAAGCAACAGCTGCTGGATTCTCATTGCTCCCCACTTACTTCCTGCTTTTCGTCTTATTTTACAGCACAATAACAGCGCTTGGCAAAAACAACAACGACAACAACAACAGCAGCAACACCGCTAATAATTTGAAATTGTGAATTTCGTTTTGGACGCGTTGCGAACTTTTTTTTTTCATACGGTTTTTCGTTTTCTTTTCATTTATGTTTTACGCGCAAAAATACGAGCAAAAAGTGAAAAGTAATGCATAAAAATCGTAAATCATAATACACATAAATTGGCAGTGTACGTGACGGGTGTTAAAATATAATCGTCTTAAATAAAGAATCATAAAAATAAAATAGTAAAAATATAATAATAATAATAATAATAATAAAGTGGTCGCTTCGCCGTGCGTGCAAAAAGTGTTCGTACAATTTTATGGCCAATGTCTGTGCGTGTGTGCGTGTGTGCGAAATCGTACTAGTAAATTTTAAATGGAAAATAGTTGCAGTTAGTTAAGATTCGGCAAAACGATCAGAAAATAATAATAATAATAATAATATATAAAAAAAACCTACTGCCAATATTTAAAACAAGCAAAAACAAGACTTGAGGATTTCACAGCCTTCGACACGTTGGATTCCATTTGCGTATAATGTCATCAACATGTGGATTAAATATGGTTTTCATGTCGATCATTTTCATTATCATCGTAAATGGTAAGTGCTGCCAGACTAATTCGAATTAATAAATGCTGCCAATTACGGCAATAACTCGCAAAACTCCGTTATTTGTTATAGCTGTCAAATATTAATAAAATCGAACTGAATTGGAATATTTTATTCCAATTTTTTTTATTTAGATAAGAGCTATATTTTGTTAAAAAAAAAGATAATATTTTTGTTAATATTTCTGTCCTAACGCTAATGAAGCCTATGCCTTGTATTGTAAAGTTCGTATTAGGTACTTAAGTATTAGATCTAACCGATATATATATATCGATAAGCTAGTTCTATCGATGCTCAAATGGAATTGAAGAAAGCATCGATATTAGAAGTCTCGAACTTTAAATACTTTTGAGTTGTTCTTAGTCTTCAACTAAATTCCCTATAATTAAAGTTTTAATTTGCATAGTCGATAAATCGATATATTTATCGACTTGGGGATAATTTGAAGATCGCAGCAGTGCGATATCATTTCAGCTCGTCTCAAACTCGCTGGAAAATATTTCAAGTTGTCGTCCAAAAAGATTTCCGCATCAAAAACTCTCGCATGACTCATTCAAAGCGTTGCTTTAAGTCCATTTTGTGCGAATTTCAGTTTCACACAGTTTGCGGTTTGTTAGCCCGAATATATACTATATATACGCTATAGGTATATGAATATGTATTAGCTGGTGATCACAACTGGTTCCTATTGTCAAGACCTTGACACCTGCGGGCTGAACAAAACGTATCCATTGTTTCACCTCAAAGACTTTCAAAGCATCTGCGGAACCTTGATTGTCGAGTTTTTTGTGGTTTTTGTATTTAAGAATTGTAAAACTAAAATAAAGAAAATTGTAAATAAAAGAAGACTTATTCGGGGAAAATCAATGGGCGTAGGTTGGACTCTTAACATGAATATGAGGCTCATGTGGTATGATAGAATCAAAGATATCCAGCAAATGTAAGTCAACAAATGCTTGCCCAGCTTGAAAAGTGGAGCTGCACATATTGCTTAATATAATAATATATAATAGAAGAAAACACTTTTAACACTCGTGAATAAAAATGCGAATTAAATTCAATAGAGCTCCAACGACATAAACCATATGGGCGAACCCCCAAGCAAATGTAATTCCAACCATAAATCTCTTCAGGCACACACACACACATACACACACACATAAGTAAAAGCGATTAAATGCAGTCGCCATTTGTGAAAAAAAAGGAGAAGAATAAAGGACAATGGCAAATAATTAGGAAAGTGGGTACTAAAATTATAAGAGTACCAAAAAGGCGACGCCCACACTTCACCCCACATTTCCCACATTTCTCCAATTTCCCACATTTTCATCGTGTGCGTAATTATTTTTGTTATACTGCTGTGCGCTGCTTTTATGAAAATGTTAACTTAATTTCTGCATGATTGAGCATTTATTTCAATGTTATTGTCTATGGGTCTTGGGCATTCGTAACGCCCTCAGTTCCGCAGCCCCCGAAATTGTTGTGCCTTTTGTGTGCTTGTAATTGTTGTGCACAGTCAATTGGTAATGGTGGGAGGGGAAATTCGAGAAGTATATAGAGATAGATTTGTTTTACAACTCTTAATTAAAATTAAAGTTTATATCACTCTGATATTCTAGAGCTTAACATGTTTTTGAAAGTCATTAAATTAAATAGCAATAAATTAGTTTTTGTAATAAGCTTTATTTTGAAATTTATAAGAGTTTTCAAAAAAAAGTACATTTATGGAATTTCCATATTTCAAAATGCTTGCAATAGAAGATAATATATACATCATGCTGATGTTGGCGTCCCTTCCATTACTTAAACCATTTAAATCTTTAGAAAAAAAATATAAAAATAAAATTAATAAGAATTTATAGCTCTTGATAGGATTCGTATTTGCCAAAGTTAGATATTGGCATCGCCATGTTAGGATTTGTTTAATTAATTTGACTAAATAAATTATTATTATCATTACTTTTCTTTGCCAAAAATGTTTTTCTAATTGCAATTTCTGCAACAATTCAGTTTCATATAAAATTACTAAATAAATTAGATAGTATGGCAATTGAAAGGCACTTGCCGTAATTTGTTGGCTTAAGTGTAACAAAACACGGGCGGGCCAAAAGCTTTTGGCCAAATTACAACAACAACAACCACTGGAGCTACTCAGCTAATTAGCAGTGTGAAGCAACCAAAACAACAACAACAACAACAGAGACAACATTAACAATAAACCAAGTGAAAACCGGTTAATCCACTCGTTGTTGCCGGCTAATCTAAAAAGAAGATGAAGAAGGAGAAGAAGAGAAAAAAATAACCAAAACACCAAAAGAAAATTTCGCATTGTGTACGAAATGTTTTTTTTTTAGTTGGATCGAACGCAAGGGTCAACGTCTTGAATATCGACGGCGTTCGTAGTAAACAAACCGAGCAACATATATCTATGCATATGGTTGTAGCGCCAGCAATCACAATACGCTGAGCAACAGCTACAGATACAAAATTGTTCGTACACAGATACAGATACAAAGATACATACGTCCGGCAGCTTGGTCTTTGGCTCACACGCTCCGCTTATCTGGCAACTGGCTTTGTCTTCGACTGCGGTTATATGCTGCTGCCCGCTGCCTCCTGCTGCGCCTCTGCCACAGTCTTGACCAAGTGACCGGCCACTGCGGAAGCGCAACAACTACAACACCTAAAAACAGCCAGAGCAACAGTTTCAGATACAGATACAGATACAGATACATGTACAGATACTGATACACAGATACAGATACAGACGGCAGCAACTACTAAGCGCAAATACTCGTTTTACTTATCGGCCTGGCTTCAACTTTTTTTGGTGGCACTTTTTCATTCTTTTCGTTATTTCTCTCTGATTTTGTTTTTGTCGCTCATTTCTGAGCTCAAGTTTTCTATTGTGCAACATGAATCATTCGCTAATTTATGACGAAACATGAGAAATTTAACATTCGAAACTATATATTTTGTTATTAAGTCATCATTTATTTATTTATTACACACAGTTACTGCATTTTATACACTTTCCACAGACTTTTTGAGTAAAACTCATCAAAACAAGCAAAGCAATTTTATTTGTATTCTTTTGAGAGCCAATTCTTAAGTTGTTTGTCTTTGGAATTATAAACAACAAGAACAGTCAACCATTTCACCAGAAATTGAAATGAAAGACAACTTTTTATTTCTTTTTATTTTGCTGCTTTGTCCGGGTTGAGTCTGTATATAATAAAAAAAAACAAAACTCAAACAGCTTGCAAAACATTTGGAGAGACCATAAAAAAGCTGTGGGTTGTTTAATAAGAATCAAAAAAAAAAAAACTCCCTGAAGAAACGCATTTAAAGAGATGCAAGATGAATAAATGAGCGAAAAGACGAGAATATGAAAACTCGATTCAAACCAGGCAACTTCCGATGTTCGATTACTAATGAATAATTGTTGTCGACCCAAAGAAATGTCATGCATTTATGTGCACTCGCTTATTGATTCATTGGAATAAAAAGCAGAAAGTATTTTATTTGTATAAGGCATGAGAATCAATTGCTGTAAACGATTTCATTTATTTAATAATAACAAAATTCTATTTGCTTTTGTTAATTACAATAACAAAAAAAGTTGAGCACATTTTGTTGTAATCAAACGCCTGAATATATAAATACACGAGTGACATAAATTATGTACAAGTTTTTTTCTTTTTAATTCGCATAAATTAAGCGAACCAAAAACAAAGCAAAGCGCATATTTTCATGTAATCGCAGCAGTTTTTTTTGTTTTTTTTTTTGTACAGACTCGTGGGAAATCAAACTTGAATGAATTGTGCAAATAGAATTAATTTTTTATGAGCTCAGCTCAAAGTTCAATGACTAATTGAGGTATTACAAATCGAAGGCCTAGTACGCTGCTAAATGCGAGCAAAATTTTATTCGCATGCGAAACTTAATCCAATTTATAGTTTTTTTTTGCAAATAAATAAATAGTTGATTTAAAAGACGACTTTCTATCTGACTTATTTATTAAAAGAACATTTTTTATTTGCAATCATAATTAACATTGAGTTTAGAAAATATATATTATTTTTCACAAGAAAATGAAATGCTTTGGTCTGAGCTAGTTTTTCGGGATAATAACACAAAATATATATGCAATAACAGTTTTGAATTTTAATCATGTTTTGTACATTATAGCATTATTTATATTTTCTAATATTTCGTTTATTATTTCGTACTAATCTTGGGATATGGCTAGCAAGCTTGAGATATAGATAAAATCCATAGAAATAACATAAAAAACTGAACTGTAGTTGAAATTTCGATAAGAGAGTCAACGAATTGACAATGCGTCATGCAATTACACATAAAGCGTATACACTAATTGCCATAAGTATACGCACACACAAACAGACACAGGCGATTATAAATGCTGCCGTTTTAAATGTGGCAAACCGCAGGGGAAATCTCAAAATGCAGCTGCCGTTTCATCATTTTTTTTTTTGGATTGATAAGCAGCTGGTGAATTGGGTTTAAAGAAATGTATATGTATATGGTATGTGTCCGATATGGATATATAGCGTGTAAGGCGTTTGCAATTTGTCATAAATCACATATGAGCTGACGGAGGAGGGAGGGTTGGGTGAAGACCTATAATGAAGACAATCGCGATTGTCTTTCAGTTGAGACAAATGCGATTAATACCCTAACTCAAATGCTGTTATTAATTTAATATATATAGTTCATACATTTCGCGTCTCTCGATATCTTTGTGAACTTCAGCCAAATATATATTATATATAACGGTAACTGATTCCCTTTTCTCGACAATTCCTAATCAAGTGTCGAATTCCTTGCGTCCACTGTTGTCTACTGGTAAGGGCATTTCAGCTTCGGTGAGCCGAAGTTAAGTTTTCTTTCTTGTTTTTATTTGCGGTACGTGTCAAGTGCAACCGAGTAACAAAGAGCACACACACACACACACACACACACACGAG